ATTATGTTCATCTAGCATTTTCCTATACTCAAAGCCATCAAAAACTACTATGTTGAAGTTGACAACCAATTGAGTGACGAGAAATAATTGATACAGGATAAGCAACTCATCTTGCAATCCATGTTACCGTGTCACTTATACTCATTCATGATGATTATAAGTTATTGCTATTCAGCTATAACTTGGTTATTTAACATCAAACTCAATGCTGTACTTGTTCATTTTTTTCCAAAAAAAAATATTGAGAACTCATCGGTGCAATAAGTATAACCTAATCGTTGTAGAAATAAATAGCATCAACATCCACATCAGATCCAACACATATCTCATTTAAAAAATAAATGTGTATTTGGTTAAGTGAATACCTCGTATACCCAAGAATCCTCGAGAAAAATCTCTGAAATATTAGCTGAACCGAGCTCTCAAAAGATAAAATCCAATTAACAGATCGGAAAATTGGATCGCCTAGTTAAACACCAGATTTTCGACAGTACTATTATATAATAATACCCGATTGAAATTTGGCGATGGAACCCCCACAAAAAGCAAAAACCCTCGAAAAGGAAACCGATTTTAAGAGAAACAAAACAAAACCAAATATTAACTACTAATATTACCACGCCGATCACTTTTCTGAAGATGTTTCAGACGATGAGAAAACGATCCGCCATAGAAAGAGGACGGGAAAGGGCGCGTGAACAACACCAGATCCTTAGAAGGCACCGAATACATTGTTCGATGCTCTTCAATTCACTTTTCCCAAATTATTTTTAGGATTTTCCCCTCTAAATCAAACGCAGCACACAGCACCAATACAAAACAGATAAGCCTATTTGAGGATTTGAAAGATTATTAGACGGATCAGGATTTATACAGGATTTTCACGGTAAGATCGGCATCACAATCATAATCATAACCATTCAAAAAGGAGAAAGGTCATTAGACTGAGATTCTATACATAAACGTATTTGAATTTATATGCCCTTCTTCTACGCGCGTGGATTAAGACGTGGATTTTTTATACTACCACGCCCCCAGTATTACTATCTTTAGGGGATAAATTTCATCAGCGTTTTTCACTCATCTTTGCGAAATCACAATTGGATAAAAATAAATAAATAAATTTTAAGTTTGTCTAAACTAAGCCCTTGTTTGTCAGCCATTTTATCCATATTATAATGAGTTTTGTGACCTTTGGAAGCCTACAATTCATTGAAAATGTGAGATTTCGGTAAAAAAAAATGTCGATAGGGTCACCAACAGTCTAATTTCTTCTAAAAATGAGAAACAAAATGACAAACAAACAAACAAGGGCTAAATCATTGAATTCCAAATTTATTTCCAAGTTTATAATTCTTCAAACGAAAGAAAATTACTTAGTTGACAGTCATATCACAACTAATAATTTACGTAATCA